ACACTGACTGACATAAACCAACCACACCACACTGACTGACATAAACCAACCATACCACACTGACTGACATAAACCAACCACACACGAACAACATAGTCTTTGTAACACACAGAGTCAAACAGGAGGTTAATGGAAACAAAGCCCTGAGGAACTGAAACACAAATACAATAGTAACTGCTTCTGCTGAGCTCTGGCCATGAGATACAAGACATGTCAGTGTTCTGTATGGACTTGTGATGAAGCCTGTCACAGACTTTGACTATCAGTAAGTACTTATTTTAAAATGAACTTGTAACTTTATGCAAAATGCACAACAAAATGAATGCTGAGCTCTATCAAAATTAAAATCTTTCATTCTTCCAATGACATTTTTTAAAAATAAAAAGATAATGCAAAGAATAGGAGAAAATATTTGCAACTCATATTTGATAAAGGTCTAGTAGTCACAATTTATAAAGACTACTCACAATTCAATATTAAAAGTATAATATAAGCTGAAAAATGAGTAAAGAACTTGAATAGCTCTTTCTTCAGAGACAACAAATGATCAGCAAGCACATGAAATCACCCACAATGAAATCACCCTTTCACACCAACTAGGAAGACTAAAATACAGGCATAAGTGTCCATGAGGATGCAGGAAAACTAGAACCTTTGTGTATTACTGTAAAATGCTACTTGAAGAGGTACACAAAGGACTAAGTATCAATCCTACCCCATTCACATATGCTCAAAAGAAATAAAAATAGACATCCACACAAAAACTTATACAAGAAAGCTCACAACACATACATTCCTACCAACCAAAAAAGTGGATCTACCCACCGATGAATGACTAAATAAAATGTGGCATACGAACAACTATTAATACGTCATAAAAATAAGTTAAATGCTGATATGACACATACAATACTGAAAATATTGTGCTAAGTGAATGAAGCCAGGCACAAAAGAACAAATACTGTGTGGTGCCATTTTTACCAATGTCCAAAACGGGCAAACTCTCACAAGCAGAAGCCCCGTCATTGATTGCCTAGAGAGAGAGACAAAGGGAAGAAGGGAAATGAAAGCAGCCTGAGTGTGAATGGCCGTGAGGAGTGTACACACTGAATATACTCAAGGATCACTAACAGTATACAAGGATGAGGTTTCCTGCTGTGTGAACTATAGGACAATAAAACTGCCACTAAATACATTTAAAATTCAATATTAACCATAAGCCAACAATGCTGACAGTTGGTTCTAACTCAAATTTAGGAAGGGTCAAACTACCCCTTTCTGTGTATACACTCCAGAATCAGTCACCACACTATAAGGTAGTAAAAATCTGTATAAGTATCTTTGTTCTATCATACGCTCCTAAATTTGCTACAGATTACAAGTGAAGATCGCAACTGCTGAGCATGTAAGCATTTGCTATAATTGCTATGGAAATATCCTCTGGTTAAATATTTACTATTTCAAATACAGTAAACAGTTTAGTACAAGAAAGGATTTTTTTTTTTCATTTCATATTTCTTTATGTATCTAGGGACTCTCCTTTAGCTAATGAAATAAACATTTTTGGTGATTATATTATTAAAACAACCATAAACTATATCATGGAATTTGATTATCAGATGTCTAAGCATTTTGTCTCATTTTGTAGAACACTTAATCACTTTAAAATTTTTCACTATTAAAAAAGAGTGCATGTAAACTGGTGTAACCACTATGGAAATTAGTACAGAGGCTCCTCAAAAAACTACAAATAGAACTCCATATGATCCAGTTATCCCACTCCTGGGCATATATCCAAAAGAATCTAAGTCAGCATACCACGAAGTGTTACGTACATCAGCATTTATGGCAGCACTATTCATAACAGATGAATGAATGGACAAAGAAACTATAGCACATACACATTATGGAGGTTTGCCCCCCTCCCACTTCCAGCTATAAAGATGAGTAAAAATATGGTAAGAAAATGGGTAGAAATGAGATCACCATGTTAATCGATGATTAAGCCAAATTCAGGGAAAAGAAACTAGGGTCTGATTTATACGCAGAATATACACAATGTGTGTGTGGGTAGATGCATGGGTGGATGGGTAAATGTAGAAGGCGGCTATCTAGGAGAAGGAACGGGCCTAGAAGAAGCAGGAACAAGAAACGGGCTGGGGAGATGGCGCGGTGACTCAGTGCTTGCTGTACGAGCCTAAGAGCCGACGTTTTGGTGCCAGCACTCACATTAAAGCTGGGCAGGGTCACGTGGGCCTCTAACTCCACCACTGGGGTGGGGACACAAAAGGACTGTCAGGGCTTGCTGGCCAGCCAGTCTGGCCAAAAGATGGTGAGCTAAAGTTTCAGTGAGACCCCGTCTTAAGAGGATAAGGTGAAAGAATGATAAAGCCAGATACCTGACATCTTCCTCTGGCTTCAGCATGCATGCACACATAGCTGTACTCCCATGTGCACACATCTATTTACCACACACACACACTATCTATACACAGAGATGGGGTCAGGGGTGAAGAAACAGTTCGCCCTAGTGAAATGGTAACTTAGCAGATTTTTAATTAGAGTAACTACAAAAGTTTTAATTTCACTCTTAAAACAAAAAAATGAAATAGTACAGATAGGAAATAGCATAGATGCTAACCCACAGTAATAGTGTTTATGCTGACACACTGTAGTAAACAATATTTAATACATTAAGGAACAGTCAAGCAATGAATGGAATAATAATAATAACAACAATAATAATAAATCTGTATGTGTTATAGTATATAATCTTAGGTAGGAAAAGTCTTATTTAATTCATAAATTTACTATTCCTGCTTACTAACCTGATTTTCTAGACACAATGTGTAGAGGGATCACAAAAGATATAAAGAGAAGAAATTCTCGTACCTAGGTAAAAATGAAAACAAATATAATTCTTATTGCGATTTAACTTACTGTTGTCAGAGGTGTTCAAATAGAATATGCATCAACGTAAGGAACATGCAAAAGTACAGGGAAAGCAAGTACTTACCAAGTATTTAGAGAGCCTTTTAAAAGTCTCCTTGACAGCCGAGAGTTCCTAATAACAAAAAGAAAATAAAAATGATTCAATGTCAGTTAAACAGACTGCCTAATTTAAACAAAACTCTCATGTTCTTAAAAAGAACTTGTATACATAACACATGGAGGACTAACAAACTACCAGAACACTGGCAAAGTTGACAATATTAAAATATTTTATCCACAGAAAAGTTATATATAAACTGACAAATTGACTTTACTGTTTATAAAAGTCAGATTTAAGTCATCTTATTTAATAAAAATTATACTACAAATCATCTCTGTCAACTCCCAAGTTTAATTAGGTTCAAAGACTCAGGAATAAAAGTTCTAAATAATATTTAGGGAACTGACTAATTGCCAGGCACTTCACTCTGGACCTTAAAAACCCTGTATTTATCTTTTCCGTTGTTAATCATATCACTCTTATTAACGACTAAGTCATCTGCTTAAACACAGCAGCTGCACTCAACTACACAGTTCACGTTTTAACCATCATTATAAACTGGATATGGGTTCCGCCCTTTTGGGAAGTGGATACAAGAGGATCAAGAGTTCCATGTCAGGTCACACAGGAAGTTTTGGGGCAGCCTGGGCTAAAGATACCACCTCAAAAGAAAAGACACACATCTTTTATCACCACCACAAGACACGAATGTACTTCAGTATCAAGTAAAACTGCCTGCCTTTTAGTCAAGGGGGAAAACTCTTAAAATTCCTTTTACAGACTCACCAGATTTAACTAAGAACACAAACTGTTACCATCTAGAAAGTATACCACCAGTTATAAAAATAAAATGTTCCTTGGGCTGGCAGGATGGATCGGCAGGAAAAGGCCCTAGGTCGTGTTCTATCTGATCTCAGCTCCATGCCCAGAACACACAAGGATGAAAGAGCCTAGCCTGCAAGCTGTCCTCTGCCCTAAACAAGTATGTACACAGCACACACCTGCATACACAACACACAGTGTAATTTTTAAGATTTCCTGAGTACATCATACCAATAGATTTTCTGTATCTAACTGTGCTAAAGTCAAGAGCAATCAAATTAATAGCATCCAACCTCAGACCATAGAAAATGTAGAAAGAAAGGCATATTAGAGATGTAAACAAAATTTAGGACAATAAAGTTTCTGTAAGATGACAAGAAATGGTTTACCTTTTTTAAATAAGGCAAAGATTATTCTTAAATCACACATAAGGGAAAATTGATTGTTAAAATCAGATATTATTTATAAAAAACTTCATGCAAACTATAGATTAGAGAACTCTAGCAAGGGACATGTGCAACTAAGATTCATATGCAAAACACATTTTGAAAAAAATTTCAAGTCATCAAGAAAATGACAACCAAGGCTGGAGGGATGGCTCTGTGGTTAGGGCACTTTCTGCTTTTCCAGCAGCCACCCTTGAGACAGGGTCCCTCACTGAACCTGGAGCTTGCTGTTTTTTTGTCTAAGCTGGCTGGCCAGCAAGCCACAGCCATCCTTCGGTCTCCAACGGATGCTTGCCCCAAGCACTGGGGTCACAAGGGCACATGAGCTCTCCTGGCTCACGCTTGTGCTGCAAAGCACTCTCGCTCACTGAGAGCTCTCTACAGCTCCATTTGTGAATGGTGTCTTGGGGTGGGGGTGCTGAACCTAGGATGCCATGTATGCAAGGCAAGCACTCTACCACCGGGCTACAGCTCCACCACTTACACCAAGTTTTGCTAACACTTCTTATATTCAAGTTAAATTCACAAACATATGGGCCAGCAAGTGGCTCAGCAGATAAAACTTTATCATGCAAGCCTGACTCATTTGATTCCCAGAACCCACAGTGGAAAGATAGAACCAACTCCTGAAAGCTGTCTTCTGACCTCCACACACACATACACTGTGGCATACACGCACATACATGAACAACAACATACACATACACTACAAATACATAACTCAGCACATAAAGAAAGGAATTAACAACAACCAGATGGTCATGCCACACATTTGTAAAACCTTTAAAGACAACTATTCAGTCCTATTGTTTAGAAAACTAAGATTTTTTTTAAATCAATGTCTCTAAAGAAAAGTCTTTTTAACCTGCTGAAGAAATGCTTATCAAATAATATTCTTATATCCCTAAATTTCTTGTTAAGATTGACAATGATAGATTCCTTATTTAAAATATTAGTCTCATTTCTTTTTATTTTACTTTTCCATTTGATTTACCTAATCAGTGTCTCTTAATGTAAACAATTTCTATTTTTCTCTAAACTAAATTGGCATCTTGATTTAATTTGAAGGGTTTTTTTTTTAACACATTTGAATAAAGACACCTACTTTATAATCCACAGCAACAGGTTTGCCTTGGGTTGTTACCTGTTTCCTTTCTGTTTACATTTGTTTGTTTGTTTGTTTGGCAGGTGCACAGCCATGTGTATGTGTGCACACAAGTGCCATAAGGAGATCAGAGAACAACTCGTGGAAGTGTGCTCTCTTTGCCCACCTGTGGGTCCCACGGGTTGAACTCAGGCTGGCAGACTTGGCAGCAAACACCTTTAACCATTGGACACCTGGCAAACCCACTGGGTTGCAAACCCAGGCCTTGAAGGGAAGTTCCCTCAACAATCCCCAAACGCTGCGAACTTCAGCTACTCCTCAGTCCAGCAGCTATTAGAGACGACTAACCAAAACGTTACAGGAATGTAAGAATTTGGCCTGGGGGAGAAAGCTGCACTCAACCAGGAACTGAGGTTTCTGTGAGAGGACAGCCAGCCACACAATACGGAGCTGACACTTCCGGACCACAGTGTACAGAAACACTTCCACTGAGTCCATTTTAAAAATCAGATTCCATTCTCCCTTCACGCATGAAACATACTTCTTTAAGGTTCTTGTCTTTCAATTACTAAGAGCAATATCAGCATCCTATAATGTAAGTGTTAATTGGAGAGATATCCTATAACAAAAAAGGGAAACCCCTTAATGAGAAATTTGTCTTCCTGAAAGAGAAAGATTAACTACTGAACTCTTACCCCAAAGAGATCTGTACCTCTCAGTAAAAAAAGAAAAAGAAAAGAAAGGAAAAAGGAGGAGGAGGGAGGGAGGGAGGGAGGGAGGGAGGGAGGGAGGGAGAGGGGGGGAGAGGGGTGTCTACTTTGAAGGTAAGAGTCTACAATGACCAACGGCAAGATCAACAGATCTTGTCTAGAGCCCACAGAACCAAACTGTGGGTTTGTGAAGGGGTAGTACCCAATTTTATGATTTCTGATAACATAGAGATCTCAGAAAGTCTCTAAGAATGGAAGCAGGAAGTCTCCACTAACACAGAAGTACAGTTACCTCAGTGGCTGCACACTGTACAACAATAGTAAAGTTCATGAAGCTTCTCCCTGTGTCTTAACCATGCAAACACTGATACTTAACAAACCAGTACTTTCCCAGGCACTATGTAAGTTAGAAGTTCTAGTATTCTGTAGCACAGTAGTCTATAGTTTAACTATTACAAATAACAATAACAATGTATTTTTCAAAAAAGCTAGATTTTGAATGTTTTCACCTCAAAGAAATGATAATCTATAGGTTGAAAACCACTGTTTTACAGGAGGGGTAAAAATTCTCAACTTTACAGGGTACACATGGATCTACACTATTCCATCCCAAGTAAGACTTCAAGCACCCACTGACATCGTGGGGTGTGTTCCCCAGGGCGAAGAGGCAGCTACTGGAGATACATCAACATCAGACCTTAAATTATTGGGGAGAAACATCAGAGGTCATTTCTCAAGTTTCTCACCCATTTAGTCTACTCTAATATTCACAAAGGAGCTTAGCGTAGGCCACTTTATTTTCCTCCTCTTATACAAAGCTATACTCTACTACCCTTTCCTTCAAGTATATCTTTAAAAGCTGTATGCATGAGAAAGTTTTATTTAAAAAAAAATCTAAATTTTTACTAAAAGGGCCTCATGATACACTTCTGTCTCCTTAATAAAGTGTGGGGCATTGGGTCTACAAAAGAACAGCAGAAAGCTCTCATGTGGTAACTCAGTCTGAAAGAAATACCTCAGCTTTCTGACTGACATTCATAAGCTGCTTCCAGCAAGCCAGAAGGAAGCTATGGCCGGTGCCTTTAAACCGCCTGATTTACTCCAATTATCAAAACAGTACAAGAGAGGTTTCAGTACAGTTCACCTCATCTGTAGAGTGCATGTTTCCTCAGTGTTCCTCAACACTTCCACAGACCGTTTCAAAATCCCTCAGTTACCAGCAGCCAACTTCTATCAAGCATGCATCTTCCTTAAACCCACACAAGCACCAGTGCATCCTTTTACTGTCCTGACATGTACACTGTACAAGACTGTACAAGTCGAATTCCTGTCCTCTAAAAGGAACTTACTCCAATATTTCATTTGTATCTGCTGCATATGGGTGTTTTTCCTACACATGTTGTATACATATGTACACCAGTCTCATGCTGGATACCCACCGAGGCCAGAAGAGAGTGTTAGAGCCCCTGGAACTGGAGTTACAGACATTTGCGAGCTGCTGCATGCTAGGAATTGAACCCAGGTCCTCTGAACTGTTTCTAACATCATGTCTTTGTTCCACCATCATGGACTCAAACGGAACTAGTAAACCCAATTAATCGCTTTCTTTTAAATGAGTTGTCATGGTCACGGTGTTTTATCAGAGCTACAGAAAAGTAACTAGGAGAAAAGAAAAAAGAAAAACAGCAGTAACATTTCCAATGTCATCAAGAAAGAGAAGAGGACCAACAGCTCAGCAGGTAAACTTGCTGGCAAGCCTGACAACATGGAGTTCAGACCCTGGATCTCACAGGGGAAAGGGAGAACTAACTTCTGAAAGTT